AGCTCTACTGCTACTAAAAGTTTATAACTATGTACTTTGTATTTTTTTCTTATTATGTATGCAAATACAGACCTATAATTACCACAGTCGTCAAAATTAATTTCTACTTTTATCAGATGTCAACTCTTTCAGGATTTAGAAAACAATTAACAGTCCACCGATAAGGTTCGCATTCGATATGACAAATTAGTCTTTTTCAGCATTGCGCAGAGTGTTTCATGAAAAACAATAATCTCCGATAAGCTAGAGCAATCCATCATCGCCTCCATAAAACGAGTGCTTGGTAAGGAAAAAGGTTTTTTTGTATAGAACTAGCTTAATTTGATGTTGATGGTTGTGTTATTAAATTTATGGCATTTAATACATTTTATGAAAGGTTTTTGGTTTGTTAGTAATTTTCTAAAAGATTTATTTTTATCGTCATAGTCATCTTCGAAATATATTTAGTGTATATAATTTTTCAATATACATTTTTAAAAGCATCAGTATAAGGACAACACGTGTCGTTTTATCGATTTAAAAAACATATCCTAATATTGGTATAATTATTTTCTACACACACATAAATCGCTACAATTGCTGCTTTTTGGTTGATGTAATCATCGTGTCTCGTAAACATGGCCACAGCGACTGATATTGACTCCTTTGAAAGAGCCACGTTCAAAGAATATCTTTTAAGGAAAATAAATATTTAAGTAATTATTACTGATACAATAGTCAAATAAACACAAAGAAAAATACTTTCAATCCGCCTGGCTTTGAACCAGGGACTGCTGCTTCAACGTCTCTACGTGATATTGGGTGAGTTTTCTTTGTGTTTGTTCGATCTTTATATCAGTAATAATAATAACATACTAGTGGAATATTTTTCACAAAGAAATAGAAGAATGGCATAGTAGTAAAAGCATCATGATATTCAATAAAAATAAATAAATATATACATTATAGCTTATATATTATAATAAAAAAAATCTAAGGTTTTCAGAGTGGACAGCTTATCAGATCAATTTATAGCTGGTCGCTTAACCTTTTGCTGACTCATGGTACACCAATATATAACATTTAATTTCCATGTATAATTTTATAGCCATTATTAGTTCGATGTTTGAGACATTGTGCTTTGGAATGGAAATGGTTTTTCTTATCGTTTCATTACTAGAAGTGGGTATTATACGCCGTATTAGTTATTTGACTGCGGTTAGGAATTAAATTGGGAATTTAAATATAGTAACATAGTGTAAGCAATAAACATGTTACAATTGTTTGGTCGTACATGTAACAATATAAAAACGTTTCTTACTCGTGCTAGCAGTGTTAATGATACAATTTTGTAAGATAAACTAGATTTTCTTTTTTAACCGAGTACAAAAAAAAGGAGGAGGTTCTAAATTCTACTGTATTTTTTTTTGTACAGTCAAGAGCACATCAAGCTTAACACTTTGTACTTTGGACTGTTCTTATTTATTTGAAGTTGGATTTTGACCCTGTACTTATGTTACACGATTATTCCAGTACTTGTGAACCGATTTTGATGATTCTTTTTTTGTTGGAAAGAGGGTACCTTCAGTAATCCCATTCAAATTTGAAGAAAATATCCCACCTCTAAGGGTGGCAAATTCGGGTATAACTCCGGTTTCGCGCACTTTCCGTTAACCGATGTCAATAAAAATTGGCAAATGTAAATGAAAAAAAAAAAGATGTAATTCTAATAAAAAAACTGATAAGCAAACTTTTGAGTGTGTTTTTTAGTAAAAAGTTATTAATTATTGAACGTTTACTTTTATCCAATTATTATTACATTTTTAAACAGTAGTTTGCAGTCCACTAACTACTTATATAATGTATTCCTCGTAGAGGAACCATGGTGAAGTTACAAAATAATTTTAAATGTACTTTTTTTAAATTTAAAAAATTGAAGGTACAGTCGACATAAACTACAAACTGAGGTTGGGACCATCTATGGTTGGGACCAACCTATTAAGTAATTAAATACCAGTGTCACGTGGTCCCGCTCTTTCTTAACTCAGACATATATATGTATATAAACTTTGCGTTGTTCTATTTTCGCGAAAGGCAATTTCACTGATATGATCTAATAATTTTTTCACAATGTCTTAACTCTTTTAATGTTTGTTATCTACCAAGCTGCCTACTGTAAACACATTAAAGAAATAACAGAAATATAAGATTATATTTTAGGCATCCTTTTACGCCCATGAAGCGTTTCTGTTAAAAAAAAAATAACGTGATTGTAATTTATTCCTCCTTCTTCATTATTAACTAAACGAAACGTAAAAGTATATTGAGTAATTTTATTTTGTACCTTCATAGGCATAGCTACAATAGTACACATGCATACTTCCCTTTCGAGTCATAATAAAACTACTACGTACAAAATCGCATAAGGCCGATTTCCCATCAATAAAGTTACGTTCAGAATTAGCATAGGATCGATAGGGCAAGTCTTCCGTGCCGTACGGCGCAGCGACAGGCACCGCCCGGGGGTGTTTACTTTACCCGGCTTGGCCAAATTGTATATTATGATGCGGTTTTTATTTAAGCCAACGTATTATTCGTTGGGGTTTATACACATATTTAACTAAATAAGTATATAAGTATAGCCATAAATTTAGACAGCTATTATGGGCAAGCTGAATCAAACACATCTACACTAACAGGTTTCTTGATATTGAGCTTGGCGTAGCCCAATACTACGACTTGATGAGATTTTCGTAGAACTAGTGCATATTTACGTATTACCGTATTAAAGTAACATTTATGAGTTGACACATTTTCACACAGCTGTATATTTGTAGGTTTTTGTTTGTAAGAGGAACTAAAATATTTAATTTGTATATCGAAAAGTTGACGTGCGGTGATAGCCTAGTGGGAGAACTGTTGTTTCGCAACTGAGAGACCGACGGTTCCAATACCTGTGAAGGCATGTATCTATGATTTTAATTTGAAAGTCGCGTACATGTGAAAAAAGCAGCATATCGATGAGGGTTAACAAACCTTGCAAATATGTGAATTCCCTAACTCTTATTGGGCCACCCACCATGGTGGAGAGTGATCTAAACCTGTTGCTTAGATCCTATAAGAAAACGGTTTAGGTCACTGCTGGGCATCGGTCAGGACACATAAAGAGTCGATGACGATGATGTTGAAAAAGATACAATCAACATAATTCGACTCAAGTATCTGAGTATTTTGAGTCTCTACGATTACAAGACAGACACATACAAACATCATTTATTATATGAAGTTACCAATAATTTACACGCTACCGGTACTGAGCACTGTGTTTTGTTTCTTTTTATATAATTTTTGTTCCCCATACAGACCTTTTTGTCCAACTAGCGACGATAAAGTATCCCGCAGTGCCGCGCCGAAATCGTTACGAATCGAAAGACCCGATGTAATCGATGCTTCGACAATCGATTTAATTAGAATTATCGACGTTTTTATCGTATTATCGGCGACAAAAGTGCTTTTTGCGTATTGTAATTCAATTGTCCGTACGTAGACCTTTTATGGAGTGTTAAATGTGCTAGGAGCAAATCTATAAATATTTATATTATTTCTGCCAGATTTGTTTTGTTTTATTAAGCAATGTCAATGGCTCAGTTGGTTGGTTGAATAGCTCTCTATTCATTTCACATTAAGGAAACATAAATTAGATATAGCAAAGGATATTGAAAAATCCGACAGTTTCAATTTTGTGACGTTTCTCTCAATTCTTGAACTAGATCTTGCCAATTTCCGTCACTGACTGTACTCTAATCGTACAGACCACTAAGTTACAATTCACGTCGTCGATTCCTTAAAGTCCCGACTGACTATACACCATAAAACATATACCAATCGCCCCCTACTGATTTTTATATTCGATACTCGAACGGAATAAAATTATAAAGAGCATTAATAACTCACTAAGTGATATATGCATATGTTGGTAGCAGACATATGCAAAGTTTGTTTTACGTTTTTTAAGGACGATTTACGCGTCCAATTACCGTAGCTAAATTGTGTATTGATTTGTTTTTGAATTACAGACGTTTATTTATTTTCATGTTCCTTTAGTTCTAGTATGTGGTACGTTTTCATTTTTGCAGGTGATCGAAGGAAATTTGTTGTCGTAAATAAAGTTTAAAAAATTGCAGCAACCAAAAGTACAGAATTGAAAGGTAATGCACTTATATCGATGTACAAGAACGTTGTAAAGCTACAATGTATTGTTTGTAACTTTAATTTTTTTTGTCATAATTTTAGCAAATTTTTGGCTACTAACTCAAACACATTTGTTTTTTATTTAATATAAACCCGTAAAATTCCGAACAGAAGCTTCGAACCGTTTCGACTCTATCTATAGAAAAAAAATTACTATCATTTTCATTAATATCGACTACAGTATCGATTACTGTTCACCAGAATCAAGATCACGTCGAGATCGAGTCGGTTCATTTATTAATACATGTTGTAGACTGCAATAAAATTGGCTGACAGTATTAAATAAGTGTCGAGAAACACATTTATAAGTAATCGAATACATCGGTACGCAAGTATCGATTCTAACTTCGATACTTACTCGATGTTAATGGTATATTAAGAATTAACGTGATTTACGTATTGATTTGTTAGAGAAAAAGGATGTTTCATTAATTTTTTTTTTATGGTATTTCTGATAATTATGGCACAAAGTTTTGGAAAGTGCTATAATGTAAATATTTCTTAGAAATATTGGCTAATCCTCTATAAAGATACCCAGCTGTGATAATACTATGAAGACTGATATTTGAGTATTATTATCATCATCATAAGCCATTGTAGTCCACTGCTGGACATATGCCTCTTTTAATGAAAAAGCTACCAGGTTAGATTTTTCTATTTAGACCTTCGCAAAGTTGCTCAATCTGCTGACTACAAGAACGAGTAAAATTAAAGTATACTTAGGTATCAGTCTGTACTGAGTTTTTTTAAATTTAAATAGTATTGCCTACCTTGAAAATAGCTCTTGGTTCGCAAATAGCTCACAGATAGCCGCAATATGGATAGTCGGTCGAGCTTGCTGAGGATGTTCTGTTCGAAGGGCAAAAGCGAAGCGAGCGTATCCAGCTCCGCATTGAGACGCTCACGGTGCCGCTTGCTCGGATTGCTCTTCGTGACGCCGTCTTTTGATGGTGGTTTGATACTGGAAAGGAATTTTGTTATATTAGTTATAATGTTATAATGATGTCAGGCAATAGTAGGTGGGTCAGAGGTGGAACGTTTGTCTTACCAAGGTCACCAGAGGTAGTTGAGGCGAAGCTTGGGATAGTTCTAAGTTTAGCAGTTGACTGTGTAATGTATAGACGTTGCTTAGATTGTCTGACTGTCTATATTATATTTTCTAAATTAAAATTCGAAAAAGTTAAAACCACTTGAAGAAATTTCTTAACTTTATATTGCAGTCATGTTTGTTTGTATATTTTTAACAGTCAGCAAGTATTAAAATTTCACAAACCAATCCTTTAAAATAATTAATAACTGTAATAAAAATCACGCATATTATCAAGATAGTCTATCAAGAGAGTAATCTAAAAGAGAAAACGAGAAGAATTAATGCAATCGAGAAGCGCAACCAGAAACGCAAATTATCAGCAATTTGTGGCCCAACGATCCGAAACATTACTTTATTTCAGATCATTCATATTTCTAAGAGGCTATTCAAAATGACACATCACATTATGCTAGTAGCCTAACGGTAGCATTCGGGTACACTTTGTGAGGCTAACGAGGTCCACGTCACGCGAGCTTACTTGTTAACATAACTTATGCGAGCGGATAAGGGGTGAGCGAGCTTGCTGCATTATTGTGCTGCTTTTTTTTGAGGAAAATTGTGTGCGCTTTTTCAGGAAATCTACGCTTGAATATAACGATAAAAAATTGAATATATATATATATATAGGCGAATTGGTAGGAAAGCCATTTTACATGAAAATTTCACGTTCTATTTACACGTGGATGGCTACAAAATAGTAACTATAAAATAGAAGTTGATTATCTCATTACGACAACCTTTTCCCTTAGATAACCGAATATATAGTGCCGGTACAAATATATATTAGCTAATTCTATTATATCCCGTATAAAAATTAGGTATTTACTTTTCTCGTACTTTATTTGTAAAACCTCAGGATGTCACTTCAAAACTTTATAATAAAAAAGTGTCATTATAAAACAGTTAAAACCTACAATGAGAGACAATTGTGAGATTTATAAAAAAATTCTTCGAACAGTTAAGGTCATCCAATAAACTAATACTAGTTTAAAAAGCCATAAATCATTCAGAGAAGCCAATTCTCCTCTGATTCAATAAGAAAAGAGCGTACAAAAAAATTGAAATGAGAGAGTAATCTACCTATTTTAATTAGCATTTGTTATGCTTAAATTATATTTCGAGTGAAGACACGTTTTTTATTTGTTTTTGTTGATCTTACTTTTTTTTATAAATTAGCATTAGACTACAGAAATGTTTAGAGTTCAAACGAATACAATTGTACAAAGTAAATCTTAGCAAATAATTCTGAAAAATATAATTTCTGGAATACAATTTTTGCTATGACATCTGATTGTAATTCCTATCAATTAAACCTTTATGATATTGATGACCTTTATAGGAAGGGTCAAACGAGTTATCATCCGAGTATTTGTACATTAAAATTTTCGCATTAAATTTAGTTATACTATTAAATTCCTCATGAAAAACAGTAAAATTTGCGTAAAATTTTTCAGTTTCTGAAAACGACAGTCTTTTAGTTAGCTTAGGTATTTAATAGGCGGTATGTACCTACTTAATAACATAACACTTTATTTGGATACTTACATGAAACAAATTACCAATCTCAGTACCAAAGATAATGAAGCTCTCTACTCATTTTCTGTTCAAAATAACTAGGTACATACATTCAAACATTACTCATAGCCGCCCGTCGTTTTTGTTGATTTATTCAAAGTTGGGTTTCAAACTGCGCATGCTCGGCTCTTTGATATAACTACCATACAATTTGTATCCATACACGCTTATAACACAACAACTGAAGCCTTAATGACAAAGTAATAAGGTAGATAAATAAACCTATACGCGCGCGCATGTATCGTAAATCAGTGACCGATTATTTCTATAAATTTTAACTCGATTAAGTTATAATCGATGGCTGATTGTGATAGGTTATGTATATGAGGTATTGGTAGTTGAAAAATGCTGTAATATTGATGGCGCGATAGATAATGCTTTGAGAAACTTGGCGGCTTTGAAGTTTTAATACCATTTAAGAATTGACATAATGCAATCTCATTCCTACTGGATTAGTCTACACTTATAAAGGAACTTTGGAAAGATACGAGGAAAAATAGATTCTAAGTTCTTTCCTGAACACCTCATATCAAATATTTGCCTTGAATTTTAGATAGTTTAGCTTTAAGAGCAAATAAAGTTACTTATATCAGATCGAATCGAAGGAAAACGGAAACTTCGATGGCCGGCTCTGTGTTGGACGTGTTTTTTTACATGGCTAGCGGATACGATACCGTTTTATAATAAACCGAAGTTGAAACGAATATATAATTGAGAATAGTTCAAAAATTGTAAATTAAGAACTAAAATATTTTATAACCGGAAACTATTATTAACAATTTTATTGCGAAACGAAAACCAAAAAGCATGGAAAATGGATTTCGAATTATCAGAACCGATAGAGTTCAGATTAAAATAAAAGTTGTAATTTTCAGTTACCACGGTTATTTATGGTATGTTTGTAAGTAAATTACTAAGTCTATCTTTTTTGAAGATGGAGTATAATGATATTTGCAGGGTTGCCAGTTTTCGTAAAATTTTATATAGTCATGTAGTTAACTGTCGACAGTTTTATCGATACATTGTGAGCGTAGGTAACTTTTTTCTGAAAATGACTGAATGGTGAATGTTACGACGTTGAAATGATTACTAACTTTAAACTTATTTTCACAGTTGATCTATTAGTATGAAAATCGATTTTTAGTCATACACGTTTTAATATCGACAGGCGAATTTGATTATGTATATTAAATTAAAATTAAAAACTTTAAATTATGTCTTTTATTTGCATTTGTAATGCATATACAAATTCAAAATGTTGTATATGTATGAATGAATTTTCAAAACTCTCCAATTTAAATGTGTCTGTGCACAGCAGTTGGACGTATAACGGGCCGATGATGAATGATATGAAACAATTTCGCCTATTTATTTCATAGGCGTAATCAACGTTCACTCGATAGTCGATATAATATTTATCGACTGCAATCACTAGCTGCTTGCAAGAGGGCAACACTTTTGCGTAATGAACTGTCATTTTACTCCGTCTTCAATAAAGACAGACTATATAATTATACATATTGTTATAGTTTGGCATAGTATTCGGTGATTTTGACTCTACACTATATACACTCGCGTAAAATTATTTGATTTTAAATTTGGGACTTAATCGAGTATGAAGACGTATTTTATTTACGATATTTCGGACGTATTGCAACGTATTCACGTAAAACTTTGATCTTTTTACAACTAATATATCACATTACCACGTATTATTACAACACTCGCATTCGTTTACCTTCAATGGTACCTCTAAAGCGTCGATACGTAAAGCGATAGACAAGCAATATCTGAAATATATAATATGCTTCCTATATTACAAAATAGTTAAGTCGTCTTGGTTTAAAGTGAGTATCTACAACGAACTACACTAGTTACTAAAGGTGATCTTTAACTGCAACACTCTGTTTCTTTCTGTATCATTTGCGCTATTGTGCTATTTAATATACTCCAAATATACTCCGTTATGAAAAGACAAAAATCTTTTTAATCGACTATTATTCACAATATAAAACATTAAGTAACATTCATTGAAAACGTTTTGAAACGGTTCAAACAAAAGTGGCCAAAGGAACGTTTTCTCATATTTAAATATAATCTCTTGTCGGCGTCTAACGAACATTTAATCGTAGTGCTCCTAATCGTATCATTTCTTATGGTTTTTCGTTTGGGGTTCTGAGAAATTATTGAAGAAGCAGTAGGTGAAGCAAGTTCTTATTTTGAATTATTTATTTTCACGTTTCCAGAGTGGTCTTGATGACACTTTCCTACTCTTTAATAGTAATTTTTGCTCTTCGTTAGATAGGGTCAGGTGGAGTAAAAGGATCTGGGGTAAGAGGGACTTCAAGAATTATATTCTACTGAGTTTAGTATTCTAATGTCTTAGACGATAACACAGATAAACAAATAACTTTAAACGATTTTAAGGAGATATCAAATCTAAAAGGCGGAAAAAACAAATTTGACAGTTTTGAAACTTCGAGAATACGAGATATACATTACCTTTGTAGGTGCGATGACTGTTTCACTTAGGCTCAACTCACACTGGCGTAGAGTCGAAGCGCCGCGTCGCGTCCCGTTTTTCAACTACAACGCCTGGCGACGCGTGTCGACGCCTTACGACACTCGCATTAGTGCGCATGGATCACAGTGTGGTCGGCGTCTGACGCCTCACTGCGCTCAAGTAAAGCGCGCCAACGGGCGTCGACGCTTGACTGCATATTTGCATAACACAAATTTGTACCTTAATGTTGGGAAAATAGGGATGAATATGCTATAGGCGAAAAACATGACACCTCGCGACGCTTCGACTCTGCGCCAGTGTGAGTTGAGCCTTACACCATCTTTTGGGGGAAGTGAAACATTTGCACAATTTTCACGTTTTCGGCAAATACATCGTAAGAATGATCGTAATTAGATTCTTAAAACATATGAAGTTGATAAACAAAGGCAAGTTTAGAGTACTTTAAAATTCCTATTAGATTTTATGTGTTCTTCATAGAGCTGAAAATAATTAACACAAAATAAAGTATATTTCTTTTACCCCACCTGACTATAAATAGTTTATAGAAAAGTGTGCGTAGATATATCGCGTCCAACTTTAACGTTCAATATTTGGTCGTTGTTTGTACTGCCACTAGTTGAAATATGGCCGGACCTTTAACCCTTTTGGATTTTGCGCCTTACTTTTATTTCCTACTGATCTATGTGTTAGGAAAAACTTTGTATCGTATTTATAAAGCTTGACCATGGTGATTTAGATTTCGGATGTTACAGAAAAGCAGTAACAACGCCTC